CTATCTATCTATCTATCTATCTATCTATCTATCTATCTATCTATCTATCTATCTATCTATCTATCTATCTATCTATCTATATTTACTCGTCTGCCCTGACTTTGAACACAGCGTAACTCTTATATTTTAGGTTTCTCAGCTTGTATTGGCTCTTACTTTTCATCATATATGGACTCTGAAAAAGAAAATCTTTAGTCAAAATGCATTACCATATATCAGGATTATATCATGGCAAGGTTGAGACGAAGACACTTAAGAGTTTCAATATCAAAAGATACATTGAAAGAGGAAGTATTTCGAAAGCTATTTAAAAATATCCATTAGGTCAAGGGACAAGTGAGTGACTAATAAAACCGTATATAAGTTTGGCAGCTTGATTTTTGTCTTAATTTTTTATCAAAAATATTCAAAAAACCTTTAATTAAAAGTTTTATTATTAATTTGGCATAGTTTAAGAACTGAGTTACCTTGTGGTTCTTTAATAGCACTGAGTTGTCACAAAACTGTTGAAACGCAAATGTTACTTAGTTGCTTATGGTATATTTCCAGTATGTAGTAATTACACTAATACGCCTTTGTTTAGAACTGCTCAGCATTCCCTCTCTTTTTTCAGTGTATGACACAAAATATGTGGTTACAAGAAAATGAGGATTGTGGTGATAAATCGATACGCCAATGACATGAGCTACCGCTATTCTCTTTATACATTGCCAGGCAACCAGAGAATGGCTGCAGGGGTTTGTGAAATCATGTGCAAATATAAATGGCAATAAATGTAAAGCATTTTATAGATTTCATACATATTTCTGGGTTCCACAATCACAGTAAACCGAGAATCTGTGAGTTCAGACTACTGTTTCATGATTCCACTACAGTTACAATCTCTGGAAGTAGGAATGTACCTCACCTCCAACACTGCCTTCTGCCTCTCCATTGAAATTAAGCATTGTTTGGTTTTTCTTGAGATGTTTTCTGTGGACGGAGCACAAACCATGAGTGGAATGATAACCAAAAGACTGCAAATGGTACCTTTATAACATTTTATACATTTGGACCTCTGCCCTTCATCCACTTACCTCCTTTCATCAGAGCCATTTTCAGCTCATGCCTGCATGATGTTTGCTTAGGGAGAACTGCCTTACTCTTGATTTGCTTTGAAGTTTTGTTCTTCTCATTTTCCTCCTCTTCCTCCTCCTCCCCCCCCTGCACCTCCTCCTCCTTCAGTTCTCCCACCAGCTCATTCTTCAGCTTGGCCATCATTCTTGCAGCGTGGGCTTCCTTCTCTTGAATTGGCAGCGCCAGAAATTTACGCATCTCCTGAGCATAAAGGCCAAAAAGAATCAAGGCTTGAACATAACAAAATCCATTTTGCACTCCCCACAATTAATGCAATATAAGAATAATGAGCTGAGAAGAAAACTTTTACCTGCAGACACACAGCAGAGATCAAACACACACCAACCTGTTTTCTGTTCCATTCTCTCATTTGTGCTCAGTAGAAAAACGCTGTAATTGTCTGGCACTTTAAATGAGCTCATTTGCCCTCTCCTTCTCATCTCTAAACATATTGGAAAGAAGAAATAAAAGTACACACTGTTCTGCATGTGTCTTTTTGGGAATTGTTGGGTTTCTGTAATTATCTTCAGAGTAGGGTCTGACCTGCTCTGTTTGGAAAGCGCTGTGAGACAACTGTTGTTGTGATGTGGCGCTATATAAATAAAATTGAATTGAATTGAATTGAAGATTGTTCTGTTCTTACTAATACTTTTTTCCACTCAACCTGTTTTTTGTGGCTTAGCTGCTCCATCGATATCTGAAATCGCCAAGGCAGCCGCAGAAAGCTCCGCTCCTTCTACTGAACACACGTTCTGGCGATGATAAAAATCATTATTGACTGAAGCATAGTAGTTTTAGTAGTTTTTGAAGCATGGTAGTAAGGTAGATTTATGGTTTGGTTAAAGAGTTAGCATACATGTTACATACTTGTGTTTAAAAATTGTGTAGTCACAAAACACTTGTGGCCACTATCTACATATTTACTGTACATGTCATATATGGAGCTAAATGAAAATAAATAACATAAATGAAAAGACATAACATAAAAGAAACAGAGGGAGAACAGAGTAACTGTCTTGATCGCAAAGGGGTATTGCATAAAACTAGAATAAATAAATCCAGGATAAGTGCGGCTTGACTGCTCAGCGCATCCTGGCTTAATTGGCTGCACGTTTGCTAAGCCACAATGGAAAGGTGTGGCTAAATTAAGCCAGGGGAGGATAGCAGGCATAAGTGCGGTTTCACAGTATTTAATAAGCTCTCGCGATCACTCACAGAATCACCGATGGGAACATGGATAACAGTCGCGCTATGGCCTATTGGTGGACTTTTATGAGGACATGAAAGACTCAATAAAAAAGACAATACCATAATAAAAGAATGGGAAAAATCCTGGTAGAATAGTGGACCAGCTTAATGCGTAAGTAGTTCAAAACTGTACACACTGGGACTATTATGATTAGGCTAAAATTAAAGGACTATTCAGTTACGAAGTTCAGCTGTTGTACACTTTACTTTAAAAGTGGCAAGTAGAGGTGCATGTTACTCTGGAAATGTTGAGTATGATTAAGTGTAAACCATTTTCCAAAATGTGTAATTACATTTATTTTTCTCATGTGACCTTTTTAAAAAAATCTTTGTATGCTTCATAAGGAACAGACTTGTCTTGCCATAAAAGGACGTGGAAGCAGGTTAAGATAAAATATTATAACATTTTGCATGCTTGTAAGTGAGAGTTAGAAAACAGTGATGTTAACAGGTTACATCTCCATATGATTGTAGCAGTAAAAAAAAAGCCCACAGAACTGGCACAGGGGGTGACTCTCAAAGCCAGGACATGACCCCAGCAGAGAAGCTGGCACTCCATTTAAATAAAGGGAGGCCAATAATGAAGGGGATCCAGGGAGGGACAGTAACTGATTCTGTTCAAGCCAAAGAAACTGTTCACTTCATACAAGGTACATATTGGAACGTCAGAAAGCCTGGAACAACTAAATATGATGTGCTGTCTGACTTTTCATTTCCTTGCCACTAGGAGTTGATCCAATCAGTACTTCGTATGGAAATCACAGGCTTGGTATGTCCTGTAAATCTTGATTCAAGTTCCCTCAATAGATATATATATATATATGGCAGGGAGAAGGCACATCTGCAGCAGCAGAATGCACATCTGCAGATGAGGAGACTGTGTCAGTGGACTCAATAGTTTAGGTATGTTAAGTGTATGCAAATATCTTGCTTATTTTTAAAGGATATAAAGTCAGTGATGTGGTGCTTATAAAAAAATATATAGCAGGATCCAGATGCTGTGCAGTCTCCTAAGGAGCCTGATAACATTGGGAGTATTGGCCAAAGCAAATCTACATAATGCACAAATCCTGCTGTGCTAATTGACTTTTGTTTTACAGACTTCACAGACTGTCAAAACCTTGTATGCAAAGCACTTGGAGAAACAGACAGAGCTGGCAGATGTGAAAATTGCTCTAAAGAAGAGAAGGCTCCAAGAAATGGAGCTGCTTCAGAGCCATGTCTTATTGTGTGGCAAATGCTTCCTTTATTTAAGTTCTCTGCATCCCCAACAAAATAAAGGAAGCTCCCAATTGCTTACCATCTCAATGTAACACAGACCACCTGTTGTACAGTGAGAGCATGGCTTTGTGCCATCTGGTGCTTTATTTTTGGACCCAGCAGGCTATATAAATATCTTAGTCCATCACCTGAGAATCTGTACCTCTCAATAAGATACTCAACTCCAAATGATAATAGGTATGAACTGTCTCTGAAGACCTTTTCAGGACGAAATGATAATCTGAGGATTTGGACTTTGTCATCCAGTACATCCTCCAAAAAAGGGCAAGCCATTAGGAAGAGGGGACTGGTGAAAGGGAGTTGGACTTATATGTATTACATGTATATGTACTTGTAACAGATTTTTTGCGTTGTTGTGTAATCTCAATCGCTGCAATAAAACATTTATATTTTAAACACACACACACAAACACACACATAAATATATATATATATATATTAGTAGATACTGTATATATATTTATATTGTTTATATTTTAATGGTTGTTTTTTATCTAAATATTCATAATTCCCTTTACTTTATTCTATTCTGCACCAATTACACCAAGTCATGTTCTTTCTAAATGGAAATCAACTTGATTCTTATTTTATTTATGAAAACTGAGACGAAATTTGACAAGCAATCTTCATAAGTGCAATATAACAATGTGCTCAATATAACACTTTGCCTGAGAAACAATACTAAAATTTGATTCAATATGAAGAGTGTTGCAATTCCAAACAACCAACAGATTTAAATTTTGAAATGTTAAAAGTATGTAAAATTTTAATGCAGGATAATTAAAACGATGGAACGTACTGCAACAGACCACAGGCATGCTGTATAACACATCAAGCCCTCACAGGATTGATGGTGGAAATTACTGCAGTAAAATTGGCAACATATTTACAGATTCACTCTGATTAATCTTAGGCTGGCTCTTACCCTGGTCTGGACCAGGCTAGCTGCATAGAAAAAAATCACCATAGTAACTTTGCCAGGTTAAATTTGAGCTGCTTTCGTGCAACCGACTGGAGGATTACCAACATATACCGGCCTTAATCCTTTATCTTCCTTTTGTCCAATACACCTTTCACGCGAGAAGTTTGAGGGTAAGGGACGCTTCTGTGCAGGCTGTCTTAAAAAAGCAAAATAAAACAAACAAAGTCGAAAACACTTACTCAGTTTGGTGTCGCCAGCGTATGGTCTGACAATTTTGCTCAGAGCCTTGATAAACGGAAGAAACGAGACTTTGTTTAGGTTTGTGTACAGTTGCCGTGGTAGCGGTGGTAGCTGTTGCCATAAATTACCGCTTGGAGTTTTCCCAACTGTCCACTTCCTGTTTTTTTTTTTTCCCAACTTTATTTATAGAACATTTTTTAAACCAATAACATACAGAGTACAAAGTATGAAGATGGCACATTTAGTAGCACAACTGTATGCAAACAACCCAAAATAATGCCCAGCAACCCCCACCCTCCCCTTTACAAGCCTTCTTGACCAGACAGACAGGACACACAAACATTCACACACATACACACGCTCACTCTTTGGGGAGAAATAAACAAAAAAAAATAAAAAAATAAAAAAATAAAATAAAATAGAAAATCAGAAGGAAAAAAATAAATAAATAATAAAAATAAATAATAAAAATAAATAAATAATCAAATTAAATTAATAAAATAATATTTATACAAAATAAACAAATAAAACACCCTCTCTCCTACACAACTCCCAGTTCTTCAGAGTTATAATTAAGAGATTCTGTGTGTCGTAGAAAAGGGTCCCAGGTGGAATTGAATAATTTTACAGAACCTTTAAGTGAAAATCTGAGTTTCTCAAGCTTCAGGTTGTAGAGCACATCCCGGATCCAGTGGATATGTGAAGGAGGATGGGCAAGTTTCCAATTAAGCAAAATCAATTTACGGGCCAGAAGGGTTGTGAATGAAACGACACCTTTTAACCTCTTGGGCAAGTGGGAAGTGGGAAGGACACCAAAAATTGCAGACAAGGGATTAGGAGCAATGGTGCAGCCATAGGCCAAACCCAATGTGGTAAATATATCAGACCAAAACGACGTCAGTTTAGGACACGACCAAAACATGTGTACATGGTTGGCCGGGGATAAGTGACACCTGCCACAAGCCTCGCTGACAGAAGGGTAGATTCTAGATAGTCTAGCATTTGTATAATGGACCCTGTAGAGAACCTTACACTGAATGAGCCTATGACGAGCACATATAGAAGATAAATGAACCAGAGATAATGCAGAATCCCATTGCCTATCAGTCAGAGCAACACCAAGACTGCTTTCCCAAGCAGCCCTAACGGCAGTCAGAGGTGATGAAGTTGTTGACCACATACACCTATAAAGAACAGAAATACATTTCTTCGCAGAGGCATCCACAGTCAGAAGAGCATCAACCAGGGTTTCAGGAGGGCGGTTTGGAAAATGAGGAAATAGTTTTTTCACATAATCTCTAATTTGAAAAAAGCGAAAAAGGTGACTGTTGGGTAGGTTGTATTTAACTGCAAGTTGTGCAAAAGATGAGAAAACATTGTCTGTGTACAGATCGCCAACAGACTTGAGCCCATTGTTGTGCCACAACCGAAATGCTGGGTCCGTTCTGGAGGGTTCAAAAGTACAATTCCTATAGATTGATGTCAAAAGTGAAGGACCCGAAAGACCAAAATGCTTTCGAATCTGATTCCAAATCTTCAGTGATAAACAAACTAGGGGGCAGCCAGACAAACGTGAAAGTTGAAGAGGAAGTTGAGAACAGAGTGCCGAACGCAGGGAAAATGGAGCAGAGTCCTGTTCAAGGTGTACCCAGGCAGGTAGGGAATCATACTCAACTAACCAGAAAAGAAGCTTCTGTATGTTTGCTGCCCAATAGTAGAACCTAAACACAGGAAGGGCGAACCCCCCCTTTTCCTTAGGCGCTTGAAGGATTGACCGGCGGATCCTCGCAGGCTTACCATCCCATAAGAAGTCTGACATCAGTTTGTCTAATCTGTCAAAAAATGATTTGGTTAAAAAAATCGGAACATGTTGAAATAAATAAAGAAATTTAGGAAGAACTACCATCTTGACCAAATTGATACGACCAACAAGAGAAAGAGGCAGCGTGGACCAGCGGACAAAATCCCTCTCCGTCTTCTCGACCAGTGGGGCAAAGTTAACTAAATACAAATCAGACAACGATGTGGTAACATGGACACCCAAATATCGGAAGCCAGAATTTGACCATTTAAATGGAACTATTTTATGGGGGAGAGTTTTAGCTGGAGCGTTGATAGGCAAGAGCTCACTCTTCTGAAAATTAAGTTTGTAACCAGATATAGCCCCGTAACGGTTTAAAATGTCAAGAATCACAGGGAATGAGTTCACCGGGTCAGAGACATACAAGAGAAGGTCATCTGCATACAGTGAAACCTTGTGAACCCTATTCACAATGCCCTTGAAACCAACCTCCGAACGAAGCAAAAGAGCAAGTGGCTCTATTACCAGAGTGAAGAGTAGCGGGGACAGCGGGCATCCTTGCCTGGTGCCACGACATAAAGGAAAAGAGGGAGACAAAGTGTTGTTAGTCTGAACAGATGCTTTTGGTGATAGGTATAAGAGTTTAATCCAATGAAGAAAGGCCTCCCCAAGTCCAAACCTAGCCACCACTTCATACAGAAAGCGCCATTCAACCCTGTCGAAGGCTTTCTCCGCATCAAGGGAGACCACAACCTCTGGCACTTTAGAATCAGATGAATGGATTATATCAAAAAGACGTCTTGTATTATGTGACGACAGGCGCCCTGGCAAAAAGCCAGTTTGGTCAGATGAAATTATGGAAGGCAGAGCAAGTTGTAAACGAGAGGCAAGAATTTTGGAAAGAATTTTGAAGTCGACATTCAAGAGCGATATCGGCCTATAGCTGCTACAGAGCAATGGGTCTTTATCCTTTTTTAGGAGAAGAGATATGGTGGCCTCCGACAGAGTGTTTGGGAGGTGACTACAGGCAAAAGCTTCATTATACATGTCTCGCAGGAGAGGGGCAAGCGATTCAGAAAAAGTCTTATAATATTCGGCTGTAAAACCATCAGGCCCAGGCGACTTACCATTCTGGAGTGAACTAATGGCCTCCTGAACTTCTGCTGTTGTAATGAGCCCACCTAACGTCTCAGCCATGCCCGCCTCTATTTGGGGAAAGACAATATTATCAAGCACATCACCCGGGGGCAAAGGATGGTCAGAGGAGTATAAAGCCGAGTAGAACTCTGCAAAGGTCTTATTTATCTCATGGGGGTCCGTAAGTATATCACCAGTGAAAGATTTAATACTAGGAATTAGCCTTGAGGACGCTTCTGCCCTGGCCTGACAAGAAAGAAGCTTCCCAGCCTTATCACCAGATTCATAAAAGCGCTGTCTGGACCTAAGAAGAAGCGTTCTGACTTTGGTAGTGGAAATAAGCTCAAACTCTGTCTGCAGCCTAAGGCGTTCCCTGTAAAGATTAGGTTTAGGATTAGATGCGTACTGTCCATCAATATCTTTTATGTCCCTAAGGAGTTCAGTGATACGCAAATTATCCGCCTTCTTCCTGTGTGAAATGAAAGAGATAAGTTGGCCCCTAATATAGGCTTTAGATGCCTCCCAAAGAATACCCCTATTTGTGCCAGGCAAGTCGTTAAGCTCAAGAAACAGTGTGATCTGAAATTGTAAGAACTGTCTATAGTCTTGCTCAGCCAGGAAGGCTGAATTGAATCTCCACATTTTGCGAGGGTTACTTTGTGCGAGCAACACTATGTCAAGGGATGTAGGGGCGTGGTCTGACACTGCGATGCTGTGATATTCTGTAGAAAGTATTTTGGATAGCAGTCTAGCATCCAGGAGAAAGAAGTCTATACGGGTGTAAGTGTGGTGGACACTTGAGAAAAAGGAGAAAGCCCGAGCCTCAGGGAATTTATGCCTCCAAGGGTCAGTAAGGCCAAACTGCTGTGCAAGAGTTTGCAAAGTCCTTGCCGATTTGGTTGACGAGGCAGGTTTAATAGACGACCTATCCAGCAGGGGGTCCTGCACAAAATTAAAGTCACCACCCACAATTATATGGTGGTTCTCCAGATTAGGGAAAGATGTAAATAGTTTTGTAACAAAATGGCTATCATCCCAGTTAGGCCCATAGACACAAACCAATAAGATTGGAACATCTTGCAGAAACCCAGAGACCATTACATATCTGCCATTAAGATCAGAAACAGAATTAACAGACACAAACGGAATTTCCTTACGAATTACAATAGCAGCACCCCTGGCCGTACCATTAAATGTGGAGTGGTACACCTGCCCGATCCACTTTCTTTTAAGCCTCACCACTTCTCGGTTGCGCAAGTGCGTTTCTTGAAAAAAGTATATGTCGCCCTTAAGATACTGTAAGTGGGCCATGACCCTTCCTAGCTTCGTAGTATTCCTCAAGCCATTCACATTCCAAGAAATGAACCTTATCTTACCATTTGTGCCAGTCATGTCTCAAGACCAGAGATTTGGAAGGTTGAAGAAGGCAGCAAACATTGACAATATCCTGGCCGGGCAGACACGAATCCACAGCTGTAAAGTGGAGTAAGTATGACTGGAGGGAGACAGAGAGTGGGGAGGAGAGAGAGAGAGA